ATCCATATAGATATGTAGTCAACTTCAACTATAATTTAAACTCAATTTTTTTTCAACCAAATAATAATAGAGCTTGACCTAATGATTTTATTAATAGAGGATATGATTAGCATATATCGATCTTTTAAGATAAAACTAATATGTTCAAAAGTTCGATGATTAATTTAGAATAAAAGTGATTTGAGGATAAAATTAAAATATTAAAAAAAATAAAGACTAACTAAAAATAAAAAGTCATAATTTGGAGATGTGTGATGTATTTAATTTTTTTAGTTGTTATATTATAAAATTTATATCTAAGTTTCTTCCTATCTATTAAGTTAAAAAATAGAGAAAATAACCTCATTGACCAAAAATTATAATATACGATTTTAACTAAATATTTTTTGGATTTGTCAAAATGACCAACTAAATCGCAATGCGATCGATAATTCGCAACGCGATCTCCGGTATCGCAAATCAGTTTCCAGATTCGCAACGCGAACTTGGACTATCGCATTGCGATTTACATATTCGCATTGCGATAGTTGAAGTTTGCATTGCGATAGTCCAAGTTTGCATTTGCGATATTCCAAAATCGCAATGACTGGTGGTATTGCATTTGTTTCTTAAGAATTTTCTCTAAAAAGATAATATTCGCGCGGACGTGTCGAAGACACGTATTACCACGACCACGACCACGAGACGAGACGGCGGCGTCGGCGCGCGAGAGTCCCCCTTGTTCTCTATCACTCAACAAGGAAGTTGGAAAGCCAAGCCTTAAATACCATTCCCAATAGTGTTTCCAATACTATGTGGGATTGAGCATTACCAACACTTGTTTCTAATACAATGTGATTATTCAGGAAATAATTAACAATCATGCACCTTAAAACAACTGAATCAACAACCAATTGCATTAGTATTATACGATTAAATATGTCATAATTAAATGTCAATCTACAATCAATCGCGATTATTGCAATTTTAAGCAAAACATTCAAAAAAAAATATCACTATTTAAGGCTCAATCCCACATAGTATTGGGAACAAGTGTTGGTAATGCTCAATCCCTCAATCCCACATAGTATTTGAAACACTATTGAGAATGGTATTTAAGGTTTGGCTTTCTCACTTCCTTGTTGAGTAATAGAGAACAAGAGGGACTCTCGCGCGCCGTCGCCGCCGCCGTCCGTCTCGTCTCGGGTCGGGTCGGGTCGGGTCGTGGTCGTGGTCGTGGTCATACGTGTATTCGACACGTCCACGCGAATACTATCTTTTTAGAGAAAATTCTTAAGAAACAAATGCAATACCGTCGTTGCGATTTTGGACTATCGCAACGAACTTGGAATAAATCGCAACGCGAATTTGGAATAAATCGCAACGAATTTGGAATAAATCGCAACGCGAACTTGGAATAAATCGCAACGAATTTGGAATAAATCGCAACGCGAACTTCGACTATCGCAACGAACTTGGAATAAATCGCAACGCGAACTTAGACTATCGCAATGCGAATATGTAAATCGCAATGCGATAGTCGAAGTTCGCGTTGCGAATCTTGAAACTGATTTGAGATACCGGAGATCGCGTTGTGAATTATCGATCGCATTGCGATTTAGTTGGTCATTTTGGAAAATCCAAAAAAAGTTGGTTAAAATCGTATATTATAAGGCATTTTTTGTCACTGAGATTATTTTCTCTAAAAAATAATATATATTTTAAAACATATAAATTTATATCATCCTATACGTCATAATAATAACCACGTTAATTGAGTTAAAACTTAATTTATAAATAAACATTCATAATTGATCGGTTTGTCAAACTGTTCATATTTATTTCATCATATTTAATTTTTTTAGTTATTATTTTTGTAATCGACTATAACACCAGCTTTGATGTTAGTTGTTGACCATCAATATCCATTATTTTTTATTTGTTTTATTATAACGTTTCTTTATTTTTTTTCTTTTAATAATTCTATATTTATGACATGTTTTCAGTCGTTTAACTGTTATTTTTGTTTATCCCTTTTTTAGGATTGGATTTAACATCGTCACGATTGATTAAAATGACGCTTATTTGCTATCATGCTGATATTCTCTGCTTTAGACCCTCGAATTAGATTTAAATACGCGATCTGCATTCATAGATAGTATTTTCACATCGCTCGATTATGATTTACGGTTTATTGGCGGTCTTTCAATAACTTCGTCCTCTTTTGTGGTTTGTTTACCGATGCAATCAGAGTTGTTCGTATTTACATTTTGTTCGAGTTTATTTAGTTAAAACTTTTAATACTTTCCTTATATGGTCCTTATATGCTCTTAAGTGACTAATTTTTTTTATGTTTAGGAAAGTATCTTTGTCATATATTTAGTTTACGGTTGTGTAGTTGTAAACTTTTATTATAATTGATATATTTTTTACTTTTAATAAAAGTAACCATTTTTATAAAAAGAAGAAGTACTATCTTAAGAGTGAAATCGAAGAAAATTACTTGCTGTATTGTGAATGGATAGTATAGATTAAAAACAAACGGCGACAAAATGGGTTTGTCAAAAATACAAGACAAGCAAAGATGTGTCGCGCTACATTATACATCACGTGGCATTTATTTTATTACAAAACTTTGTCTATAAGTTCAAATACAAAGTCTGCAAGCTCATCCCATTTTATGTCGGTGATACGTGGAATTCTCCCTAATTTCCTTTTCATTTATTTAAAATGTTTGTAATTATAATATTATATATTTTTTTTATAAAAATAAGGTTTTCCTTTTTTTAAGAATTTAAAAAGTTAAAATATGGATTGAAAAAGCTTATTACTTGTTATAATATATATATATATATTTAAAATGAGAGAGAGAATCTAAACATAAATAAATTTATGTGATCATGTTCCTTCTTCCGGTTAATTTCCTTTCATGAACAGTTTATTCAACTTCAGTCGAGCGAGAAAAGAACTTTCGAGTGCCAAACGCTAGCTGAATTCACACTAAACGAAGAAACGATTTTACGGATAGTTATGATTTACGATAATTTTAATATATGATTAAAGGAATATTTTATCGAAAATATTAATATTTTTTAATATTTTTGATAAAGTACTATTTAAAATATTATTTTATCGAAAATGTTAATTTCGTTATTTAATTTTCGATAGAAAAAAAATAATATTTTAAGTAACGATCAATATTAACTTTTTCGGTAAAAAAAATAATGGTTTAAATAGCGCTTTATCGGAAATATTAAACATTTTAAGTTGCTGCCAATATTACATTTTCGATTGAAAAAATAATATTTTAGATAACGTTTTATCAAAAATATTAAAAAAATACAAACATTTACGATAACGTTTTTCCTTAATTATATATTAAGACTGTCTGATTTTAGTCGACGTCTCATATGATGTCTTTTTGTTGTATATTTTAATAATTAAAAAAAGAGGGTGAAATGAAGAAGCTTGTTGGTTATTATGCGTATGCAAAATTGCAATACGTAAAATAGAATCGTGGGCTTCTCCTAACAGCATTAACGCATAAGCCTCGGAAACATGGGCCCAAAACTATAACTCAATCTTCAAGATACAGCAAAGGCGTATCTACTAGGCCCACTCCCTTTCAATAAAAGAAACCTAAATCAATTATTTCCTTTTTTTCTCTTAGAAAAAAAATCTATGTATTTATACCGTATAGACGATGTATAGAGAGAAGTAACCAAAAATATGTATTTTTTGGATTATTTTATATTTTAATTTCAGTTTGAAGCTGTCACTTCAAGTATTCGTGATTTTAATAATTATAATAAATTATAAATACAATTTAGTTTAGACATGTTTCAAAGTGATTAAATTTGAAAGAACTAAAAACATCACAAATTAATTTATATTTATTATGTTAGATATCATAGTAATATATAATTAATTTAAAATTTTAAATAATTCACTGCATAAAAGTTTTTTTTGACAAAATTCGAACTAATAAATGATATATTGTTTGAAGAGATAATCATGAATCTTATTTCTACCGTATTAAAAACTTAAAACATAATGTTAAAATTCACCATAAATGTTTATATGAATATGTATTTTTTTTTATTTTAAATTATTTTAGCTCTTAACGTTTTATTTTAGAATAAAATAATTCTTTTATAAATAAAAATGGTTAATTAACTAATAGTTAATGCATCTTGTTGATTAGGATAGAATGGTCCACATAAACTAACTTATTGACATGATTTTTGTGCGTGTAATGAAGTGATGGTGTGACAATATTATCTAATTAGTTTAGATTTCTATGGATTAAAGTGAAATTCAAAGATTAAACTAAAATTTTGTTAAATCTAAATATTAATATAAATGAAAAATAAAAGTTAAAGATAAAATTAAAAAACATATAAAAAGTTAAAAATTATTCTATTCATTTTATAATTCATATCTAAAATGTATGATTAACTATGATACTATTATTTTTTTTATTTAAATCAATTTTCTTTATTTTATATAAATAACATAATTGAAACCAAAAGGACCCGCTCCACGTAAGGCTACATGCGCTTGCGTAGTGGAACCTTCGAACAAAAATTCCCAGCCCACGTGTTTACACGAGAAGAGCTTTATGTGTTTTTCTCTTCTTTCATTCTTTCTTGGTATAAATACGAAATTGATCCTTGTATTATAATATATTTTAACCGAAATAACCGACAATCTGTTTCTTATTTCTTATCCATCAAAAAGAAGAAAGATGACAATTTTCTTACTATTTACAGTTTATTTTCTTTTCTTACAAGCATTTTCGATACCAACGATTAAACACTGACGTAGTTCTATAGTTTCGTACAATCTTTGTCAAGCATAATTTGAAGATTGGTTTGATCAAAATCAAACCTTAAATTCTGGCACTGTCCTGACAGCTTCAAATTACACCTGCCCTACGTTACTACACTTGTCAATTAATGTCAACTGCGCTGTTGGAAAAGAAAAAAAGGAAAAAATCTTAGTTCTAACCACAGAAGCTTCCAAAAACCTGAGGAAACAGACACAAGTTCACCGCCATGGCATGTATCGGCGAATTCCCGGACAAGAACGACGATGATGTTTTCAGGTACCTGATCGTGAGACCAGACAAGGGTGGGATTCGGGACCTTTTGAGCTATTCATTGTCGGGTGACAGAGACAGTGTGGTTAAGTTCCTTGAAAGCTCCGACCAGGATGCGGTGCTGGCCGGTGGAGAATCCGCCGACCACCGGTGGGTCATTCTGGTTTCCATCGTTGCACGCAAGATCCTTCACTTTCTCGGCAAGCCCATGGAGTTAACCGGTTATGTGGTTGATTTCTTCCTCAATCTTCTTTCTCAGAACGGCTCCATCTTTGGCTTGTTCTATAATCTTCTCAAGGGTAAATTGTCTTAATTGATTCCTTCTATTTCAGTGACATACATGTGTGGTTTCAGTGATTGTATTTGGTTATACTTGTCATAAAAGTAACATGTTTTTTTTTAAACTGAGGTCCACTGTCTGCATATTTGTTTGAAACACAAAAACCCAGAATGTTTTTGCTACTGAGATGACTGTGAGTTGCAGGAGATGTAGTTATACCGAAGAGAGGCACCGAGACTTTTATTAGTACTATTGGACTCATAGATTCGAGAATGGACCTTTACCAAGGCAAACAGTTGGTGGAAGATTTGCATAATTCTGCTCCAGGGGAGGGAATCACGAATGTCGAATTCGATAACCGAGCAATGATGGACCTCTGTTTGATGGCATCCAAGCTAGCATATGAAAACGCCGAGGTTGTAAGGAATGTCGTGGTTAATCGTTGGAAGGTAAGCTACTATACTGCTCTTTTCGGACCTGAATTTGTGTCTTTTACGTTGTTCCGGTGATCATTGACACGAAATCGATGCGCTTAAACATATGCAGATGCACTTTTCTGGACTTCTACGACTGCTGGGACGGTAATAGACACATACTGAATATAGCTTGTGTTACTTGGAATTTGTTGTGAATGGAGCATTAACTCGAATTCCATTTCATAGATTACCAAAAGGAGAAATCCACTCAAGTTTTTCTGTTATGTGACAAGCCGAAGGATGCGAATCTGATATTGATCAGCTTCCGTGGCACGGAGCTTTTTGATGCCGATGATTGGAGTACTGATTTCGACTACTCTTGGTACGAAATTCCAAATTTAGGAAAGCTTCATATGGGATTTATAGAGGCATTAGGTTTGGGTAATAGAGAAGATACCACTTCCTTTCGTTATCATCTTCAGAAGAGGAGCACAAAGCACAGCTTTTCCGAAGCTGCAGAAGTAAAGTCCTCAAATGTGGATCCCCACTCTGAACGATCTGCTGGTATCAGTAACAAGGGCATCCCACCAGAAATGGCGGAGAAGACCGCATACTATATGGTGAGAGAAAAGCTCAAGACCTTGTTTGAAGAGCACAAGAATGCTAAATATATTGTCACTGGGCATAGCTTAGGAGGGGCTCTCGCAATTTTGTTTACTACGGTTCTCATGCTGCATGAGGAGACAGAGTTACTCCAAAAGTTGCTCGGGGTATACACATTTGGACAGCCGAGGATTGGTAACAGGCAGATTGGGAGGTTCATGGAAGCTCATTTAGATCATCCGGTCCCCAAATATTTCAGAGTTGTTTACTGCAATGATTTGGTGCCCAGGTTGCCCTACGATGATAAAACCTTCTTGTATAAGCATTTCGGGGTGTGCCTTTACTACAACAGCTGTTATATCGAGCAGGTATAATCTACACACCTATGCCACTTTCTTGCTCATTGACAATTTCTGTTATGTAAACGATTCATGTTCTTCATTGTATCTAGTTAATTTCGTGTTTTGTTCGTTTTTGTTTAAAGAGAATGGACGAGGAGCCAAATAAGAATTACTTTGGGATAACACAGATAATCCCGGTGTATCTCACTGCGGTTTGGGAGTTAATGAGAAGTTTGGCCATGGGATACACCTATGGCCCTGAGTACAAGGAAGGATGGTTCTCCATATTTATCAGGGCACTAGGATTGTTAATTCCTGGTATATCAGCACATTGTGTAACAAACTATGTCAACTCCATAAGACTCGGAAAGTTTCGTGGTATACGATCCTCCTACTAGGAATCTTCTCAGCGCATAAGTCTTTATCTCTTTTACATGTGTTACTACTAGCTTTGTACTCACCAGTTTCGATCTGTACTGCAGTCAATCAAGAATTTGTTTCCGGAAAGATATCGATGTTCTTTGTCGATCGAGTTCATGATAATGGAAGGATTAGTGCATGAAAATGGTGTCAATACTTGCATTAGATTTTTCTTTTTTCCAGTTCAGGACCATGAAAAAATCATCAAAGAAAAGAATTCAACTCTTTCAAGTAGCTTATTGTTTTGGGATTTTACTAAATATTGCAAAAATTTCTGCAAATGCAAAGAAGAATATTGAAACTTCAAGACAGGCGCCTGTTCTATATGTTAAACTAGCAATGCTTATATCAGCAACTGCTGCTGGCTTTATCTTTGGTAGAATACCGGAAAATACGATGTTCGCGTTCATTGTCTAGACCGTATGAGCCGATTTAATCGCATTTAAATCCAAATTCTTAAGCCTCATAACTGATTCTACATGACCTCTTAAAGTGTGCAGCTCCCCGAGTCTGCAAAAGTCGAAGGATCGTTTCAGCAGAAACTCATTTCAAAAGATGATCATTGCTCATTGCTAAGCTCAGTAAGTTGTTAGCTGGTAGCCATGCAATTGAGGTAAAAATGAAGGTACCTGGCTATTTCAGCTCGTCGCCTGGCCTGATCGGCTATCAAAGAAGATATCGATCTTCTGCTGTTGAAATCCAAGTCTGCAGCCATCAAGCCCTGTAGGCTCCTCTGAGAAAGAACCCACTTGGCCGCCCGGTCTTCTTTCCCGTAGTCTTTCTTAGAAGTAAATGCAGTCTGTTGCACATAGAAGCTATGAAAAGCCTCTTCAAGGTAAGATTTATACCCTAATAAGTTCGAGACAAGGACGAGTACACTGACCTTTCTGTCAAATAGGAGGTTCCAGGCTTCTCCACTCAACGAGTAGCGGACGAAGAACTTGATGATATCGAGTGGAACATAGAAAACTAAACTGTATAACCATATAACACCAGCCCATCCCCATCCAATGCCACTGATATAAGCAAAGCTAATATGTGCATACACTGCTATTAAGGTAGCCACCAGTTGAGCCACCACAAATGCACACATCAAGAGAGCACCAGGCCTCTCGACGAATGACCAACTTCGACTCCGAGTAACGAAGATGAGAGCCTGGCTAATGATGCTAACTTGAAGATATACTGCTGAGGAAATTTGCTGCGTATCGCCGGATATAGACTTTACATTGAAGTGAGTCTGCAGAAAGAAGAGAAAAAAAGAGTTCAGGGAACACAATTATCTTCCCCAAATAAACAGTTGAAAGTGAATGCAAAAAGTACCTCAAAGAAATCAGTATCAACTACAATCCAGTAAAAGAGGACAGTAACCAAAGCAAGATAGGTTCCAATGACGATGCCGGTTGCGAATATCTCATTAAGCTTCCAACTGTCAGGACTCGGAGACGGCTTTAAAACCATGAAAGGTGGGAAGTCATATTCCCATATCAGAGCTAGAAGCACAAAACCAAGCTGCAATGGTGTGGTTATTTATGAAACAAACAGATCAGTGTACAAAACCTTAAGTTAGGAGTCCATGAAAGTGAGCAAAACAATAGGAACCGTGAAAGAAAGTTAACGTACCACAATTCGAATAGTTATCGACACAGCATATATCTGCAAATTCAAGCAGGCTAGTCAGTTATATGAACAAGAAAATCAAGGCTCTTTTCAGAACGAAAGATTCCATACTTTACCGTATAGTTTTTCATCCTTTGGAATATAGCTCTGCTTGTTAACACAGCACTGACTATCACACTTAAGCCAGGCTCGGTCAAGACGATATCTGAAGCACTCCTTGCAGCATCTGTAGCATCCGCCACTGCTATTCCGATGTCTGCTTTCTTCAAAGCGGGAGCATCATTGACGCCATCTCCGGTCATCCCCACCACATGCTTCTTTTCTTGTAAAATCTTTACGATTTCGTACTTGTGTTCTAAGAAATCGTACCGAAATGCAGGCCGAGTCGGAGGATGAAATCACATTACAGATAACACATGCATATCAAAGATCCATACAGGCTAAAACGTTATGATTCTTTTCTTAAAAGATTCATACCTGGGAATACTCCAGCAAAGCCATCTGCCTTTTCGATGAGTTCATCCGTTGGAAGAGCTTCGTTCTCATCTTTTTCGCGACCCAACAACGATGAAGAAGGATACATGTTTGTCCCCATACCCAGTCTTCTTCCGGTCTCCTTCGCAATAGCCAACTGATCACCTATATTAGTATGTATAGGATATATCAGTATTTTTTCTGCAACAATGCTGCGCTTTTGGGGTTTAAAAGCATATTAAGTTCTAGCATGATGAGTAATTCATATGTACCTGTAATCATTTTTACACATACTCCGAGGTTTAAGGCTCGACGAATGGTCTCGGCACTATCATGTCTCGGAGGATCGAATAAAGGCAACAACCCACAAAATGTCCAGGGACCTCCTGGACTCTCCTTGGTTCTTTCTGGTACTTCCTGAGAAGATGATTATGCAAGTTCATGAACATGTTAGGAAGGAACTTGAATGATTAGAGGAAACTCAAATCAATTTCGTGTATTCGAGTTTCGGTACTGATATCAAACCGCAACACATCGAGAACAATATCATACCTGAAAAGCGACTGCAAGAGACCGCAAGCCCCTCTCGGCAAATCTGTCAATTATAGCATGAACTTTTCCAGCAATCTCGTGTTTCTCTTCACAAAGACTTAGAATCTGATATGTAGGAGACAAAGAAGAATGATAAGAAAGAGAGAAGTGAATATCCTGTGCTCATTGCACCATGTAGCCATGAACACAGATCAAACACAAGAAGAGTTAAAGGAGATGGCTACCTGTTCGGGAGCTCCTTTGCTGGAGCGGTACCAATTTCCGTCGGAGTCGATGTACGTAATTGCAGTACGTTTGTCCACGGGATTGAATGGCAGAAAGTGAACTTCTTTGATGTTTGCACGAGCCTCCTTCGGGTCTGCAAGCATGTTAATGATGGCGGCATCTATGGCATCCTGATTTTCGAGTCTCGAGGCTCTTGCTGCAAGCAGAACAATCTTGTCTTTGTCCATATCGTTGCTAAAAACCTTCAGAACAAAAAGTGAACTTGGCTATTAGCCTGTATCTGAAAATCGATGCATTGAAAGAACTAGGAGTTCACATATTTGAAGTCCAGCTAGTGTACCTCGACAAGGTTTCGATCAACAGTTAAGCGATTCAGGGTTAGAGTTCCAGTTTTGTCACTGCATAGAACATCCATTCCAGCCATTTCTTCAATTGCAGTCATCCTTTTAGTGATGGCACCCTTGAAAAAACAAACAAAACAAGCAATTTGCAAACGATCAAGCCTAAGTGTTCGACTTGTTGCTGTGCTATTCGAATGATTTTAGCTTACTTTTACTAAAAAATGATGAGCATTGAATATTATAGTTGTACCTGTTGAGAGAGTCGATGAGAACCAATAGCCAGAGTAACAGATAATACAGTTGGCATAGCTATAGGAATTCCTCCAATCAATAGAACCAGAAGGTTGTTGATTCCATCTCTGTACGATCGTTGCTGTATCGGGAACATGACGATGATTTCGAGAATCATCCCCACAGCAATAGAGCAGATGCAGAAATTCCCAATGGCGGTGAGTACCTGACAGATATAATGCAACATATATAAGATTAACTCGGCTTCATTAGTGGTTAGCATATAAGTAATTTTATGCATTAGGTTCACCTGCTGAAAGTGTCCGACGACTTCAGTGGAGTCGACTAAGTGTGCTGCTTTTCCGAAGAAAGAGTGAACTCCGGTAGCTATAACCACAGCCTCAATCTCACCATGCTTACAAGTTGAACCCGAAAACACTTCATCCCCTGTCCTCTTGGTGACCGGAAGGGATTCTCCGGTAAGAGCAGACTGCAAAACAGATTTTTTTACATGATATCTTCAGTTATTCAATAGACAGAATAAATGAAAACAATCAAATGTGGTAATTATCAAGTCTAGCGCTCACCTGATCAATTTTAAGCGGATCACCTTCGAGAAGGCGAGCATCTGCAGGGATGATATCCCCGAGTTTTATGCTAATTATATCTCCTGGTACTAAAACCTCAGCATCTTTCTCTTGCCATTGCCCATCCCTGAGAACCTGCATAAAAAAGGGATTATGAAAATTAGCACATTGTGGTATCGGCGATGGCACCGGCAGATAAGAGAGTTGAACACCTTTGTTTTTGGAGCGAGACGAGCCATAAGCGCGGCTGCTGCATTTCCGGCATTGTTTTCCTCGATGAAACTGATTGTTGAGTTGATAAGCAAAAGGCATATGATCCCTACAAAGTCCTGCCAGTCAGGACCTTGGCCCTGGCATAAAACAAACCGCAGAAAGCTGTCAGGGTGACCATTAACTCGAGATTCGAGATTCAAGAAGTATGTGGTGAAAGATATATAACATACACCACCATTGGCAAGGGCAATCGCCATCACTGCAGCAGCTTCCATAACCCATGATAATGGATTCCACATAAAGCTGAGAAACTTCAGAAACTTGTTTTCCTGGATTCGAATAAAAACACACACAGCAATTACTCGTCTAAAAGTATTACTCGAAATAGATCGAGTATTCAGTTGGCACCGGTTAATGTCTTACCGGCTTCTCCTCGAGCTTATTTGGACCAAATATATGTACTCTAACTTCAGCATCTTCAGATGTAAGTCCTCCTTGGGATGTTCTCAGTTGCTCAAAAACTTCATGTAAAGGTAAGCGTTCCTATTGAAACAAATATGATTTAGAAATACTGGAAATCTCTAGTATCTGCTCTTGTAGTAAAAATATATAAACTAACCAAATCGATCCCTTCCCGGTTGAAATTCTCGGGATTCAGTAAAGGTTTATCGAGCTCCTCGCTCATGATTCGACCTGTAAAACAAACTGAGATCGATCAGCGTGTTATTCAAACGACATGTACATTTTTCGAACAAAATCCATGCATACTGCAAATTAACGAAGTTACATGTGTATCCTACAATGTTACAGAACATAACAGTAGCGCATACTAAAACCAAAACCACTAGAATCAGCTTTGGCTACTGCTCAGACAACGCAAACGTGACGCTCGGTGTTTCCAGTTAACGACTTACTTTATATCGAAAAGAATAAGGGTGAAGCCTGCGAAGTGACTGAATCCGATGAGCTTCCTCTCCTTTTGCTGTAATGGAGGAGGGTTTTAGTGAGTAGTAGTAGTATGAAGAAGCTAAGGCAGGTAAGTGAAGTGAGATACTTAATAAAGAGATGACGACAACAACAACAACAGACGTTTTGTTTTCCGTTGACCGGTTGTTAGCAATTGACCGGCGTTTCTGAACCTAAAATTGGCGCCATATTTGTCAGCAACCTTGCGATCAACTACCTTTCAAAGTTTGCTGCTTTAAACCTAACGGTCACTGTGACCCGAATCTAAAGGTCAAATTTTGTCATTGGTCCCTATACTATACTTAATTTTCGGAGTTTGTCCTTATACTCTTGATAATTTTATTAATGTAATTTTCAAATTCTGAAATTTCAGTCGTGAATCAAATGATAAAGGGACAACATGAATGATAAAGGAACTAAACCCCCAAACTCTTTATTCAGCATTTCATTGGTAGGGAGCTTATACCTGTAACTTAGTTAATTGGCTACATGTTAATCATATGTGTCGAGAGCGACAGACACATGATTTCATGTTAGGAGGAGACGAACTTATAAAATTTTAAATAGGGTAAAATTTATAAACTTTTAGAGGAGACGGAAATATATTTTTAATAAAAAATAAAAAAAAATATCTAAAACATATAAATTTGAAACTTTCAGGGGCGACTGCCCCTCTAGGTCCATCCCTTAAATGTCGAAAGTTGGGTGTTTCATGTGCTATCCATCAATCAAAATGCCAAGAATTGGTAGGTGATGGGTTGGCAAGTGTTTATTTTGAATTCTTGTAATATGCATAAATGGTAGATTAAGTTTTTATTCTTCAACTTAATCATTTTATGTCTCCATAATTCAATTATATTATCATTGTATTGTTTAAATTGAGATTGAAATTTTGAAAAATTTTAAAAGTACAAAAAATAAAATAGATTAAATTAGAGTACGTGTGCTAAATTAATAAGTTTTGTACAATATAAGGACTAATGATAAAATTTGACCTTTTGTATAAAGGTTTATATTTAATATATTAAAAATATATATAAATCCGAACAATTTTGTATGAATGTGTAATTTATAAAAAAAAGGAATTCACAAATTTTTAATTGTATTTTGTTCGAATAAATAAATAAAAATATGTGATATATTATAAAAAATTATAATTTTTAAAAATGAATATTGTATTGTAATTTAAGTTAAATTTTATAAATTTATATATAATATGTCGATGGTAAATCACATAATCATTTCTCATTTTATCATATATTTTAGTTTGGTTAAATAATCTATTGACAAAATTCATACACACAACTACTTAAACACGAAACTTTTAAAGATACAACGTTTTTTTTACTGATAAGGATATACTAAATTTTTAAATAAACTCCAAATTCGATATCTGATTCGTCAAATATGAATGTACTCCAATTCCATAACTAGTGATGTTAATTTAATCTGAAATCGAAAAATTTCTACCTGACTCGATTCAATAGGGTTAGATTTTTAATAAAAAAATGGGTTCAAGTCAGGTCGGATTTTATAAATGAATGAGATCGGGTTGGGTCGAGTTTGTGTGGAAAATGAAAAAGTTCCGATCCAACCGAGGGTAATAGTGTAATTTCTTCACATAAAATTATGGATAATTGTTATAATAACTCATCTCTCTATTATCTTTTTAATTAAGTCATTATTTTAAATTGGATCGGTTCAAGTAGGGTCGGGTTTATATTTTAAAATTTTAGGTCGGTCAGGACCGGGTTGAGAATATATAGTTTTCGGGTCGAGTTGGATCAGATGGAGTATATATTTTTTAAGTATGATAGACTTCGGATGGAGAGTATATATTTTTCGGATCGAGTCCGACAAAAAAACCCGATTCAGACCCATTACCAACCCTATCGATAATAACAATTTTCCCACTCGAACAGATATTACCTGGGAAAGTGGATGTGATAATTCAATGGAAGAGGCTGCTTGATTTGCCAGCTTTTTCAGCACATGGAATTTCAATGTTAAATTGCCTGTGCAGCCAAGAATGAAAGCAAATGCCACATTTCGGATCCAAAAGGGGACGTTATTCTCACAAAATTTGCTGAGTTTAAGGCTTATTAATACACCAGTCTCCAACGTTTTAACTATATAAACCTCTTGTCGGGCAAAAAGGAAAAAATTTAAGAATTTGAAGAGGATAGTTGATTAACTAGGTAAATAGTAGGGATGAACATGTGACTCGAACCCGACTTGATCGGGTCTGATTTTTTTTAAAAAAATTCAAGTTTGGGTCGGGTCGGGGTCGGGACCGGGTTTAGAGTGAAAAATATCCGACCCAACAAAAAAATAAATAATTTTACCTTATATATTTATGAATAATTATAATAATACCCCTCTATACAATAATAACTCTTTAAATTAATACTCATTAAATTAATAAACTCTCTAAAATAATAAATTTGTCCGGTCCCGACTTGGGCCAATGTAAAAAATTGAAAAACTCGATAAAATAATAAGATAATAATTTTTCGTGAGATCCCTTTATAATTTTCGGTCACAAGAAAATCATAAATTAATAATTCATAGAAACTGAAAAAAATATATTACACTCTATTGAAATATGATTCAATAGTTGTCTGTTTTCCTTTAAAGTTTAAGTCTATTTGGAACTCATTATTAATTTAACTCATCTCTTGCAACGTAATTCTAAGAGGCATAGATTAATTTACCTTTTTGTTTGGTATGTACAGTATAATTACTTAAAAACTCTTTAAATTAATAATTATTAATTTATCGATAAATTAATAACTCTCTAAATTAATAAATTTCTCCGGTCCTGACATTATTAATTTATAGAGTTTTAATTGTATATCATTTTTTTCAATTAAGTAATTGTTTTTATTGAATAAAAATATTTTTATTATTATTTCGGGTCGGATTTTTAAGTTATAAATTGGATCTTGTTTGGGTCGGGTGAAAACTTGTTTTGGTCGGCTCGGGTCTCGGGTAGAGGACTCTCTTGTTCTCGGGTTGGGTCGGGTGGACCAAAAACCCGACCCATGCCCATCCCTAATAAATAGTGATGCTTGTATGGTGTAGATTAAATCATCATTAATTGAAATCGATTTTGATAAAATTATCAAACTGTTGACGGCAGTATTGTTCTATGAGAATTTGCATTTTTGATATTTGAAGATATGAAAAATAGAGAGATCAAATCTTAAAAGTCCGAAGAGTACAAGGACTGAAAGATAAAACTTACATTTTCTAAAAAACGAAAAACAAATATATTAATCATTACATCCCCTTGAGCAAATCGAATTGTTTATCTCACAATTTACAATCTTTGCAAACTCTGTATAAATTTCCAGATTTTTTAAGGAACATATATGAACAGTTCCCATTTAGTCCTTGCACTCATCGTATATTATTTTTTCAAATTGCAGAAACATGAGATCAATGGTTTCCAGTAGCCAGTTTAGCTCTCAATTCCTTTCTCAAGATCTTCCCCGATGGCGCCTTTGGGATGGTTTCAATGAAGAACACGCGATTTAGTCTCTTGTAGAACACCACCTGTTTCGAAACGTACTGCTTGATTTCATCCTCACTGATCTGTGATTTCTCCGATCTCACCACGAATGCCACTGGAACTTCCCCTGCTGCTTCATCCTTCATGCTGCAATCACAATACATTTAAGAACCCGGATTCCGATATACCGGAGAAATATCGATGGTGTTGTTAAAAACTTACGCGACGACGGCGGCATCAACGATATCGGGGTGAGCGATGAGCATTGCTTCGAGCTCGGCCGGTGCTACTTGGAACCCTTTGTATTTGATCAATTCCTTCAATCGATCCACGATGAAGAGTTCATCGTCGTCGTCGATGTAACCGATGTCACCGGTGTGTAACCAGCCATCTTTGTCTATGGTCCTAGCTGTGGCCTCAGGGTCATTAAGGTATCCTGCAAAAAAAATACATTCAGCTAACATTGTTCTCGCTGTTTTCCATTTTTGGTAAATTAAGTAATATACCTTTCATGATTTGGTCTCCTCGGATGCAAATCTCTCCGGCCTGGTTTCGCGGCAGCGATGAACCGGTGTCGGGGTCGACGATTTTCATCTCGGCGTTCCTTACGACAGTACCACAGGCCCCGGATTTTATTTCGAAGGGTTCCTTCGCGAATCCCAAGCACATTGCTAGAACTGGTCCAGCTTCTGTCATTCCATAACCCTATAAAACAATAATGATTTTCAATTAATTTTGAAAGAACTAAAAAAGACAGGTAAAAATATTTAAACTTCAATACCTGCCCAAATTTGGCACCAGGGAACTTGACTTTTACAGCATCTTCAAGCTCTTGACCCAACGGAGCTGCCCCGGACTTCACCATCCTCACCGACGACAAGTCGTATTTATCGGTCTCCGATGACTTAGCGATTGCCAAAACGATCGGCGGCACGATGGGAGCAACGGTTACTTTATATTTCTGTATCAGCTGCAACAACAATCCGATCTCGAACTTCTGCATGATCAGAATCGCAGCCCCAACACGTAGCCCACAGAGCATGATCGAGTTCAAGGCATAAATATGGAACATAGGCAAAGTACATAAGATCACATCTTCACTGTGGAAATACAAGTTGGGATTTTCACCATCAACTTGTTGCGCCACGCTCGTGACTAGCCCTTTGTGCGTTAACATCACCCCTTTGGGTAGCCCCGTGGTTCCCGACGAATACGGCAGCGCGACAACGTCGTCGGGCTCGATATCGACCACGGGGAGATCGCGCTCGTCGGCTTGTGTTAATTCGGAGAAATGTAAACAACCCTCCGGGGCGGAGTCGATGCACACGATCTTCACATCGTTGTCTAAGGCGAATTCCTTGACTTTGTCGACGTAGCCGGCCAGCGTGATTATGAGTTTCCGACGGAGGCTTTCGCTTGCTTCACGATCTCCGCCGGGGTGAAAAAAGGGTTGGCCGCCGTCGCAGTGGCGCCGCGGAACGAAGCGCCGAGGAACGAGAGGACGAACTCGGGAGTGTTGGGTAATAAAATCATTATCACGTCACGTTGTTGGATGCCGAGCTTGTTAAGCCCCGAGGCGACTCGCTGAGCGGTGAGCTCCACATCTTCGTAAGTGTAAACTTTCCCGGTGGTTCCGTCGATCAAACAGGGCTTGGAGGCAACGTCGGAGAGATTCTCGAAACAGTATTTATGCAAAGGGAGGTGGCTAGGGATGTATATATCGGGAAGCTTTGATCGGAAAATGATTTCTTGTTGGTGTTGCGATTCAGCTTGGGGTGCCATTTGGGAATTGGTGGGAGTTGAAGCTGAAAAGACCAGCTTTGAAAAAAATATTAGGCTTCGATCTGGTAATTGGAGCCTGAGAGGAAATGATAGGTGGCATTGACATTGATATAGTAATCAGATCAAAGTTTTGGTGAAGGGGGTTGGTGAAAGGACAAGATGGGTATTTCATGAACTGTTGGATGATATATTAGGATGAGTGGTATGAAAGGGTGGAAATTGTGGTCTATATTCATTCATCAAGTAATACTTTTGTTACATTTTAATAAACGTCAATAGAAAATATATAAAAAAAATCTGAGATATAAGATAAATTAAAATTTTTAAGAATATGACTGTCCTATTCATCCCTTCGATCCATCTCTGATTGGAACCTCCTCGACTTATGTACAATCTTTTTCTTCTTCCCCACCTTAATTACTAACTCTCTTTCATAAATCGACATTAATCAATAATCGTTCTCTTATTATTATAATTTTTTGTTTAAATTAAAAGGAGTGAACCGTGAATATTCGACAAAACTTATTTATTTTCGATGTGATTCGGTGGAGGATTATTATAGTATTTGTGTGTGTGTTTTTAAATAAAATGGTGTGGAGGGTTGGTGAGGGTGGGGGAGCTGGGGTCCATGTTTGGTTAAGGAAGATGGCAAGTTGACTCAAGCGATAATGACGGCTTTTTACCTACCCCTTTCCACTATCCCCTGTGCCAACCCCCCGTCTTTCTTGGACCATCCATTGCAACCTTCACCTACCGCCATTTTAGTAATTTGTGTTTTCCTCAATTATATTCACTCTTAATTCACAAATCACTCCCTAAATTATATTATTTTCACATCTTAATACTTCAATTTTTTCTTATTCATAAAGGGTATATAAATTTTATTTTTCTTCTTGAACTGCCCCAAATGTGATTTCCATTAAAAGAAAGCATAATGTCATAAAATGTTAATGTTTGATATATAGTTATTTCAGTTTTAAATCTTTCGAAGTATTTTGATCTTCAATATTTCATTTCGAGTCAGAATGATCTCTCCGTGAATGAAAATTGTTAATGAATTGTTTATCACCTCTTTAAAATGATGTAACAGATCTATATAACATGACATAAAATTACCATAATTTAATTTTAAATGAGTATTATTCTCCTAAAAATACCTTATTACATAACACAAAAGCGGGCTATCATTTAATTATTGACTCGTGTCATCGTTAATTATCATTGAATAACAAGTGATTGACTTAAAGTACTAACATGGGAAAAAGAACAAAGTTTAAGTACTTCTTTTGATAAAAATAAAAATAAAAATTTAGATACTATCTTGAAAAAAATGTATAGTATTGGTACCAATTTATGAATTTAACCCATATATAGTTATATTATCCGAAGCCCATTCTCAATTACTTAAGGCTAATTATATTAATAAAATATAGATTAGATATTGAAAAGTAAAATGATTTAAATAAATATTTAATTCCTCTAATTGTACTTAAAAAGTAAGTAAATCTTCAATTTTAATCATCTTCAATTTTAATCATAGTTTAATTGAATTATTACTTGAAAAAATTATAATCAATTAAATTCATCTAATTACATTCTTAAAGGTTTTATCATATTAATATTGAAATTAGGGATGAATTTATCAATGTTAGAGGATGATTACATCCTTAAAAATTTTAAAAAATTTATATAGTTTGGGTATTTTTTTATGTTTTAATTTTATATTTTCTTAAAATTTTATTATTTTTACATTTTAATATATTTTTTACAGACATAAAATTTTAAATCCATCCTTAATTAAAATCATGTATTCATTTCCGTTTGAAACCACATGTAAACTAGACGTGATTGACAACTAATCGATATATTATGATTAAATAATTAGGACTTATAATTATAATATATGCCAAAAAAAAAAACTCTTTGAATTGAAAAAGAAAATAAAGTCAAGAAGAAAAGACAACAACATTGAAACAACGAGGCGTAATAGCAAGAAGATTGCTTATCCATAGGGATAGACATAGGTCGGATTGGGTCGGATTTTTGGTCCACCAGACTTGATCCGAGAACAAAATATCCTCCACCCGAGACCTGACTCGACCCGACCAAAACAAGATTTCACCCGACCCGATATATAACTTAAAAATCTGACCCGACTCGAAACAATAAAAAATATTATTTTTATATAATAAAATCAGTGACTTAATTGAAAAAAATAATATATAGAGATGTATTATTATTATTATAATTATTTCAAAATATATAAGATAAAATTATTTTTTTAGGTCAGGTTAGATCAAGTGTTTTCATAATAAACTCGAACCCAACCCGAATTAAAAAAATGACCCGATCAAATAGGATCGAGTTAAAACCTATCGGGTTCGAGTCCCATGCCTATCTCTACTTATCCCAAGTCTACTTTCCTTTTTCATAATATCAAATTCAATCATTGGACATTATCTACTGTTGGCCCATTACATAAGGACCCAAAGGCTCAAGATATATATGGGCCTTAAAAGCCTATCATGGTGTATCCAAAAATAATATCATATTATCCTTAAGTATTGATGTAGGCATAATGTCAATAATTTACTTTAACTATTTAGATCTTTATTTATTTTTAAAATTATTTTAGCTCTCGTTATTTCATTTTAGGATAAAAAATCTATAATGTTTGACTAAATAGTCACTTTAGTCATTATTTATTTGGAGCATTTTGACCTTTAATATTTCATTTTAGGGTAAAAAAAAGCTTCCATTTTAGAGCATTGACTGAATTGCCCGACCAGCTCAGTTGGTAGAGCGCAAGGCTCTTAACCATGTGGTCATGCCATGGTGGGAAATTCATAAATTGTCGGAGGTCTTCCACGGAAGTTGCTCTCAACCTAGCGTTGGGGGCAGCCTACTACCCTACCTCCCCCTTACCCCATTACATATGGTACTAGGGTCAACTTTTTATTTTAGAGCATTGACTAACAATTTTCATCTGCATAAAGATTTTTTCCTTAAAATTTAACGATGAAACCAAAATGCTTAAGAAAAAAGGAATATGAACTAAAATAACTATTTAATCAAACGTCGAGAACATAAAAAATAATACACTAACATAAAAATTAATACAAATTTTAGACAAACTATATGTTTAGTTATATAACTTTTAATATGTTTTTGTTTTAATCACACAACTATAAAAAATTTCGATTTTTACCTTATCATGATATAGTCCACAATTTTTACCGTCGGATCAACGTGACATAAAGATATATTATTTTTCTCATCATTCTTAACATTCCTATCATGAAAATTTTAAAGGGAAATATTTTAGAGATTTTTAACATGAAATTCATCGGAAAATTTATATGAAATTAAAGAATTTTTTATACCAATTAAAGATATGTGATAATATAACATTATATGTTAGACATAATAGTAATATATATTATTTAAATTCAAATTCTTAGAAATAATATTATTAAAAGAAATAAGAATAGAATTTGAATATAAGAAAACACATAAAAAAATACTGAAAAATTATAATTAACGTATTATTTGTCGGTTGAAATTAAAGAGCGGTTTCTTATATATTTATTTTTTTAAGAAAATACCGAGACCACGTTTTTTAATTTAAAGTCGAAAGTATGGAAGAATCTTTGCGGCAGGAGCCCACGACCTTTTGATAATTGGTACTTTTTGCCTCCTACCTCCTTGCTTTTTACAGTTTAGCCCTACTCCGCACATTCATACTCGTTTGAAATTTTCAACATCTTACAATTTAATCACTCCCCACATTCATCACATGTATCAAATTAGAAGTTTAAATTATTAAGTGGCAATAAATCTTAATATTTTTACTGAATAAACACCCTATCAATCGATGATATTAATTTAACAAAATTTTAGGTATAATATATATACATATATATTCTACATCATTGAGGAAGATGCTAAGCTTTTGGTGTCATACAGGAATGAATTGACGGGGCGGTCGTTTTTAATTTTTAATTTTTAATTTTAAAATAGTTTATGTTTTTTTACATCTTTATTAATAATTTTTTTGTTTTTCTAAAATTTTATAAATTCACTCTTTAAAATTTTATAATTTATTCTCCTAATATAAAATTGGGTAAACTATACATTTAGTACACAAATTATTATTTTTATTCTATTTTGGTACCCAAACTTTATTTTATTTTAAAATCATACTTAATGTTTGGTTTAGGTTCCATTTTGATATCACGTCGTTAAAAACTTAATGATGATATTGATGTGTCATCATAAGGTAATGTCATGTCATATTGAAAAAATAATAAAAAATAATGCCAGGTCAGTAGTTCTATTAATTTTTAACGATGAATACCAAAATGAAACTTAAATTAAATGTTATGTATGATTTTGAAACAAAATAAAATTTCAAGTACTAAACAGAAAAAAGTAATAATTTAAGTAGAAAACATATAATTTAGCCTATAAAATTTTGAGTCCATTTTGAGTGTCGCATATGAACGGTGTTGAATAAACAAGGATAATTTATAATTATATCTAATTAAATTATTTAATCCATAAATTCAAACAAATTCTTTGTAACCGATAAAAAATTTTATTTACTGTTATAATGATGATGTGACAATTTATAATATTAATATGATGATTTATAATATGGATGAGATGATATATATATATATAATAATGTGATGATGAAGATGATTTTTTTTTTTAAAAAATAAAATTTTAATTGATTTTTGTACAGTTTGAAGATTGAATTATTCTTTAAGAAAAAATAAAAAATTTATTTAAATATTTAAATATTAAAATTATTAAAAGTAAAAACACTTGCAAAATTGTAAATGAAATTTAAAGATATCATAAGCTATAAAATAAATTATAAATAATTTAAAGCATGTTGTTAGAGTGAAAGTTAGCATCAGTCGATTTAATTGTTTGGACGTTGTAAATAATAGGCTTTGTATAGCATGAGATATTCTCTAAATAATTTTTTTTTTGATGATCTCATTTACTTTGTAACTTTGTAGCAGTCTTCTGCTTATTGGTAGGATGGACATTGGTTGGGTTTCCGTCAACCTGATCAGATTCAAAAATTTTACATTATTCACCCGATCCGAAAAATATGTACCTCCATCTGATTCGAATCCGACCTGATTTTTTAGACAAAATCTGAACAAGATTCGACCCTACCTGAAATAATAAAGAATATTATTTTTATTCAATAAAGTCAGTGATTTAATTAAAAATAATAATATATAGAGGGGTATTATTGTAATTATTTCTAAATATATAAGGTACAATTATATTTTTCCAGGCTGGGTCAATATTTTTCACCCTAAAACCGAATCCGACTCGACCTGAACATCACCTTTAAAAAGTCCGACCCGACCCGAACTCAATTTTTAAAAAAAAATCCAACTCCATCAGGTCGACTCGGGTTTGAATCTCATGTCCATCCCTACTTATTAGGTAATACAATTAAAACTTATAATATATACATGGACACACCATTTCACCCAAGTCAACCCTAACCCTAACCCTAACCCTAACCCTAACCCTAACCCTAAAACCTAGACTAGACACCATCCAAATTAAACTCAAATTATATCAAGCCCAAAACAATATTATAGATTATTAAAATTCACTTCAACTTTCATTTAGATGATAAACATTCAATTCCATTAAATTACATCATTCAACTTTTATTTAATAAGAGTTAATTGCATCATATGTCTCACAACATGACCCTTATTTTAAATTGGTTCATATACTTTTGAATATTCAAATTTCATTTTCAAACTATGACTCCCGTTCTAAATTAATTTTTAAACTTTAAAACATTATAATTTCATCCCAGAACTACGACCTTCTTTCTAAATTGGTCCACAAGCTTTTGAATATTCAGATCTTATCCCCGAATTCATCCAAGTATATAATTAGTTTCAATCATAGTTTGACCTAAATTTTGTTTTTTTTTCAAACGTAAGATAATATAACTTGGCTTAACGATATTATTAACAAGAGATGTAATTAGTATATACATATAGCTTGGGATGGAAATGGAATGACCAAAAATTTTAAGGACCAATTTAGAATGAAGGTCATAATTTGGGGATGAAATTGAAATGTTCAAAAGTTTGAGGACTGATTTAGAATCATAGTCATGGTTTAGGGATGGAATTAGAACATTTAAGAGTTTAGGGACCAATTTAAAATGAGAATTATACTTTGAGGACATATGATGCATTTGGCTCTATTAATAAATTAAATCACCTACGCTAACATCAACGTTAAACAATTCAACATAAAAATTGAATTATTACTTTTGTATTACACTTATTGGATTTATTAGTGATGGTTTCTTAATTTCACAAATGAGATTAAGAAGTTGTCACATATACTTAATTGATGCATTAAAAATTAATAACAAATAAATGAAACACATAAAATCGAGTTGAGAATAATTTATATTTCTGCAAAAATAATATATTAACAAAAGATTAAATAAATAGAATACAGGAAATAAAGTCCAAAAATTATTATATTAATACAAAATTTAGATAAATAATGTCTAAAAAAAATACACACAGAACATGTACGACTGGAATAGATAAACAACACAAGAAGGAATCGTAAGAGAAAACATGGCAAAATATGGTTGGAGAGGTTTGATCATCAATCTTTCTCATAGCCTATATTCATTGCCATTCTTTGCCACGTGGCCGAGGCCGCTATAGACAGGGATGGCAATGGGTCGGATCGGGTCGGGTTTTTGGGCCACTCGGCCCGATCCGAGAAGAAAGGATCATCCACATGTGACTCGATCTGACCCGACAAAATTAAGGTTTCACCCAACTTGATCTTACCCGAATATATGATTTAGAAATCCGACCCGACCCGAAAAAAAAAATTTATTCAATAAAAACAGTGACTTAATTGAAAAAATTATATATAGAGAGATATTATTGTAATTATCACTAAATATATAGGGTAAAATTATATATATTTTTCGGGTCAGATCGGATTTTTTCCACCCCAAATCCGATCAATCCCAAACAATACATAAAAAACCCCGACCTGAATCTGATTTTTTTTAAATCCGACCCGATCAAGTCGAATCAGAACCCATCGAACTCGGATTGAGTTGCCATCCCTAGCTACCGACACTAATTTTTCTCAGCCAATAGATTTGAAAAGCATGAATTTAATATATTTAATTTAATTTTGCAATCAAAACCAATGCTTCTCTTTCTTTTAAATATATATATATATATATATATATATATATATATATATATATATTGGTCATAGGTCACGTGTTCTTTTTCTTGTAAAAATATCGGATGAACACTCACTTTTTGATTTCCTTCTCTCTTTGTAAGTTGTAAACAACCTTCTTCTTCTCCTTCTTTGTAAGAACTATATATATATATATATATATATATATATATATATATATATATAGACAGAGAGAGAGAGAGAGAGAGAGAGAGAGGTGGAGGTCTGGCAGGTTCAAAACGGCAGCGTTTAGAGTGTTCGGAGGAGGAGGAAAGAAGAAGATCAAAATCAGCAAGAAAAAGAGTAGAGTGAAAGAAAGATTCATGGATTGGTGGCACAAGATGGTTTTCCCTGTTCGTAGATTCTGGTTCGCCGTTTCTTCTCCTCTGAAAGCTCGCAAAAACGGTGCGTAGAGTGAAACAAAAACAGAGCACAAAAGACACCCATAGTTTGTTTGTTTTTGGGCTAATAATTCGATAATAATCGATGCAGGTACAGGGCTTTTAAAGCTACACGATGATATACAAACATGTGGATACCAAGATGTGCAGGTCATGTGGGAGATGCTGAGAAGATCCGACACCGACCTGATTGCGGACAATCACCGGCGAAAGCAACGACCGTTTTGGCGAGTTTTTGTATCGTCTTCGTCGCCAAATCATGCTTAACTTTAGTATCCCTTTGTGTCTCGACACGTTTTCTGTATTACAGCCTTTTGACATAGGCAATCGCAGTTTTAGAATCCCGATGGCCGCCGGCCGGCCGGCGTTGCAGTGGCATAGAACATATGGATGTTGATGTATCACTGTCGAAGAAAATGGTTTCGAATGAAGTGATCATTTTGTATGTATTTGATGCTTTTGTCATGATGATTTGCTTTAAGCTCAAAGTTCATTCAAATAATGCAAGTGTTGTTTTAGATCTTTCTAGTCCATTTCTCGTTCTTGAAAGAGCTTTTGCTTTAACATAGTTTGACTTTGTCAAAAGAAAATATTTTAGATAAAAATAATATTTTTTACATTTATTCTACTAATAATTTATAGTGAAACGATGAGTGATTTAAACATAAATTTATTAATTTTGTGTATGATTCTTAAATTTAATTGTTTTAATTAGATATTATTAAGTAATTATAGAAATTTTTTCTATGATTTAATTGTTTTAATATTTTTTATATTACACTTGTTATTAGTTAAATACCTATTAATATTGTTAATTGGGTTTTAATTTTTTTTGATAATTCTAAATTTAGTTCTAATCCTATCTAAAGGGAGGAAATAAAGATGAGCAGGTTAATCAATCAACTAAATGTGTTTACTCTAATTGAGTTTTCATTTGATTATTAAGAAAATTTAATTGACGTTATTATAGAGAGAGAGAGAGAGAGAGAAATGTTGCAGTACCATACACACATACATGCATACACATAATAGATCAACATAATAGATCATCAACAGAAAACTGGCAAGCAAAGGATTTTCTTACCAAACTGGCAGACCATTAAACCGCTTGTTCAATTCTCAGAAATTCGTACCATATGAGTAAGCAAATGGTGTTCAAAATGCAATAGAGGGCCAGTACTTGGCTACTAAACCCTGAATGGAACGATGGGGAGAAAAAATAAACGAATAATAGGGCGGTAATCAATCAGAAACATCCAAAGAAACTGATCTTGCAAAAGTACCACTCTTTATACTAAAATTTGGGGACAGAGACAATCTGTAACGAAATGCTTTGCACCCGAGGAGCCAGTTGAAGGAGTACGGATATGGATCTTACGATTATAACTGTACAGGGGATGCTGAAGAAGAAGCCGGTGTTTAACCAGTGAAGGTTACTCTACGCGGGTCAATATGTCCACTGCAGTAACTCGAAGGAACAGCCGAGATCTCCTGCCTTCCTTTCCACTCTTCACCAGGTTTCAAGGTGATGGGCTTCTCCACACAAGCAGCCTCTACACAAAGCATATGCTTATATTCCTCATCACCGAAATCAGCCATTGCCTTAGCTTTCTTGTCCCAGGGATTCCACACAACTGAAATGAAGACATGTTTTACCCACAGCGTTCTAAATTAGGATAGTAGTGTGTATAGGGGCAATAAACTCACCAGCGTCGGGTAGTCCATCCTTTCGCAACTCGAATGTTCGCTTCCTTTCATGGTCCAGGATGGCAATTTTTGTTGGTGTACTGAGGTATATTTTATCCACCTTTTTCATCAACAAGAACAGTAAACAAGAACAATTAAACAATAAATACAAATTAGAATTGAAAGACTGCGAAACATAAGCCTGCTTAAAAAGAAATTGACACTAACTTCTGATTCAAATGTTAATGCATCCCCTTGTTCAGTGAACCGCTCCCTGTTCTGCAGGTTATCCAAATAATCCAGTGTCTCTAGTCCTTCCACTCGCACTTCACTAAATAAAAGTAAATACAAAATGAATAGTGTAGAACAAAGAATAGTTCCTAGCAAAATATCATAGCAGCAACATCTAGATACAGAACATTCTTTAAGAAAAAGAGCAGAGAAATTAATTTTTGAAGACTACTATGCAATTACTTGTGTTCAGTGACAAAGCATGACTTTGATCTCGTATATAGGGCAATTTCATCATGGAATGTTCACCAGAGATTGCATCTCATACGGTTTCCATAGGTTAAAGAGAAGTAGATGATACTACCCAGCATTGTTAATTAAAACAACATGCAAATGGTAAAATTCAGGTGCATGATACTGTGTTAAAATGTAGAGATTCTCGTGACTAAAAGCCAGTATATTGCAAGATAAATACCTGATATCAGAGACGGAAAAATAGGTATGATAGGCAAATGTAAATGTAAATGACTTCCCATCAGTGTTTGTATTTCTAATGCGGGAAGTCAACATCAAATCACCAGCAGGACTCAGAGCTACCCTCAACCGAAACTCAAACCTGCACAGAATTGAATATGCCTTAATTCACACTATAGGACTTCAATATCCATCTAACATGCATAGGTAACGCCACATAAATGTAATCAGTTAATCCATAAATCTAAGCACAAAGCAGTTCCAGAGCACATGTAAGATATATTTTAAAACTAGATATGGGTTAACTCCAAAACAGCACACAAACTGATGCCATAGATTACAAAAACCGGAATAAAGTATACACAGTCTGGTCCAGACAGCAGTTTACGAATTTTGCTTAATAAGGGCATTTAAATCAAGATGTCAATTTAGGAACTGTGTTAAATAAATCAAATTTCATATAGAGCAATGCACCTGTGAGGCCAGATCTTCAACTCTTCTTCAGAGTGAGTAAGAATTAAGTCAACGAATGCCCTGGCAGAAGCATGTGATGAACATGGTGGTGGATCAGGATCAACACTCCATAATCGATTTCTTGCAAATCCATGTTGCTCAAGAGAATCAATATTCCCAAACTGCATGGCTCAAGAATTAAAACTGAAACAAAGAAATAAAAATGCAAAAGAGAGAGAGAGAGAGCTTCAAAGCACATACTTGAGGAAAACAGATTGGTATACCTCCACGGATAGCTTTTAGTGGCTGAAAAATAGCCTACACACAAAGAACTCACATTTAATTGAAAAGGTAATTACAAATAGTTGGTAGATCCATCTAAATTGTTGTACTCTTTCCTATACAAAAGTCAACACATCGATTATTTCAATTATAGTTATTTTGTACTTTACAAATAATTAGAAGTCTTGCCTTTATCAAAAGGTAAGTATACATATGTGGTGGGCATTTTGATACTCCCCTCTAAATACAAAATACCCCAGAAATCTTTATTTATTTATTTTTTGAGCACTAACCTCTTCATAAAGAAGTAGCATTAGGTATTAATAAAACAACTAGAAAATACTATAACTTGCAAATAGTAGCCCAAGTAGGAGTAAATGATAACTTAGTAGTTAGTACCACCACTGTTGACCGATGTGATCAAATTTATTCCATGAACCATTGCACATGTATTCGAAGACTATTTCTAATGATGGAGCATAATCTTAAATGGCAGGAGAAGAGTTAACTGCAATGCATTTAAATTCTTATGCTAGATAGTTTCTAACAAGAAGAAATCTAAAACAGGTACCTTACTACTAAGGAAAAGCAACTGTTCCCTGCGTTCATTCTTCCAAGACGTGACTTGGCCTCCATAGAGATACACCTGTTTAAAGAAAATAAAGTAGAATGAATACAAGAAATCGTTAAATAATTTATTCAGGTTAAGAAAAAGGAAATAAAGAAGGTGGGAGAGGGAAGAATAAAAACCACTACATAAGAGGAAATATTTCCTGAGTTCATGAATTAGGATTTCAAGAACACTAGTTCTAACAAAATTGATTTTTGACCGTATTCAAACAAAACAATTAAATTTAAGACTAATGCTTATAACAGGAAAAGAAAAAAGAAAAAGAAACACTCCAAACAAAAAAGAGGAGTGGTGGTGGTTAGATGACAGGTTCCATGCTTTGCAGGATACTAAAATAAATTTCACTGGTAATAGAGATCACAAGTCGCAACTTCCAGAAGCAGATTGAATTGATAATTACGTCCCAATTTAAGTGCAGAAGATAATAATTCAACATTAGTTTAACTATTTATCATCGAAAAGGAACATGGAAAGCATCTTATGCGCATGGCATAAGCTCTTTCCACTTTAAAACATATAAAAAAAATTAATGTGTCAAGGAACACTTTAAGTAATTTCCTGTAAACATTCTCCACTGTCCATACTTGGAAGTAAATAATAGTATTCTCAATAATAATAATAATGATAATAACAATAATAATGATAATAATAATAGTTCATTTTCTCCCATCATCTCAACAAAAATGTTCAGATGGAAAGTTTTCAACAATTAAAACTTGCACGAATGGTAAACATGTGCTTAATATTGCACCTCAAGTTTGGCTTCAAGAATCTTTCCTACTATTTTGTTCAATTTATTCATACAATTTTTGGATAATCGACTTCAAACATTATAGCTTTCTTTCTCCTGTTTTCAATACAAAACACTCAAACTATTTCCTGCTGCAACAAAAGAATGAATAATTCTTTAATCTAAATTCAATGCAAACTTATTCAATAAATATAAGATTTATTGGTCCAAACCGTTACAGGATTAACTCATCAGAAGTGAGTTTCATTATGGAGAGAACAATATAATCGCAGGATCCAAATCTATAAAACGAATAAATAACAGAACAAATCACGTAAATCTCTTCAAAAACAAATGTACATCTTGCAATGCGGTTAACATTTCTACACAGATTTCAAGATTCCGAACTAAAATCACAAAAGAAACAAGTTGATCGGACAACAAAATGCAAACGAAAGATCGTGGAAAAGAGGAAAAAAAGAGAGAATGAAACGGAAAAACCTCAGCAGAGACACCGCGATTCTCCCTCAAGATGACCTTGTCGAGGTCATTGATGCCTTTACAATGCTCGACATACACGTTCTCGGATGCCATTGATGCCTTCTAGATATTGAATCGTTCTTCCAAAGAAAAAAGAAAAAGGAAAATTGAGAGATAGGGAGAGAGAGAAGAGGAGTTTTTTGGTGGATTTTCGGAAGGTCTACTAATTAAGGCAATATTTGTAGCAGATGGTTATGACAAGTTATCAGTTTTATATTTTTCACAAAAGGCTTTATTAACATTTAGCCTCTAAATTATTCTTATTTTTCACTTTAGTATCTGTTTCTTTTTTTCATTTCAATTTTGTACTTAAATTATTACATATTATTATTTGATATGTAATAATTTACTGTCATGATCACTAATAAACTTAATTTACTGTCATCATCACTAATTAACATTTAAATAAATATAACATATAACGGAAAGAGTAATTTAAGTATCAATAAGAAAACCTTATGTGTCATATGTGACATTTTAAAGGTAAATTGACGCAGAAATGATAATTTAAGTAAAAGATAAAAATAAATAAATATTAAAATAAATATAATTTAAACATAAAATCATAAAATAAACTTAATTATTGTGAGAAGAATTTGAGTAACTTACTTATTTAATCATTAAATTAAAAAATTGGTTTAATTTTGAATTATCGAATAAAAAATCAATTAATAACATATAATTTTGGTATCGTGACATCGATCGTTAAATCAATTTTAATCATTAACAAAACTGATGATATGTATCGTTCTGAATCAATATTCAAGGTACAAGTGACTGATGTTGGTATTTGGTTAGCCATCGACTTGGATCCATCCAATGTTATCATCGAGACTGATATTGTCAATGTAATTAATCAGTTGTAATATTGGAGTCTTGATTTGTCCGTGGCCAACTTCCATTTACACGAAGCACGCTTATTGTTGTCTCTTCACGCCAATATACGAGATTGATATATCCGTTGCGGTATCAATACTCCTGCTCATGCATCAGTACATTCGGCTTGTATTTTGCTTATGCATGTCCTGATATGATCTCGAATATTGTTTATACTGACGTTATTTTTGCCTATGTAATTAAGCATGTAGGTTATGACAGCAATGTACAAATGCACCTTGATAGATGGAGTGATTCTAACAACTGATTTTTGAAAATGTGTATGTTGATGCACCTAATAATCCAATTGTTTATGAAGATTTTATGCTTCCGGGGTATGGGACGTGTAAAAGGTCTAGCAGGTGTTTATGGGAGGGGACGTGAACCAAATTTTGAGTTGTCTGATTACAATTAAACGAGAAAATGTTATGGTTTGGACACACCATTTTATCAAGTTCTATTTAACAAGATCGGGGTTTCATTAAATGATGAGATAAGATATTGTATTGATCGAATAATTTAAGATGAAGATATATATGTATCGCATGTTTATCTTTTTATCATTAATGTATACGAAGATAATGTTTTTTTTATTTGAATTGAGATTTGTGGAGTCGAGTAATGATGACTAGCCAATGCATTTTTTTCTTTAGGTCGCCACTCAAATTTATTAAAGATTGGAAAATGTCATCATGGTAGATGATTACAACCCAAAGATTAAAATCCAAGAAACAAACTAACCAATCTATCAAATAATGTTAAACAAGAACCGAGCAGCAATGAGAATCATAAGCACTGAAGCAAGATAATTCCCAGAACTTAGACGTTCGGGTGCAGTAGATTTAGCAGAAGCTGGAGCTTCAATAGAAGTTGTTGGGGCTGGTGGTGGTGTATTGCTAGATGGTTTAAGCGGCGATGTTACTGAAGGCTGGACGCTGTCATATTCGCCATTATAATCCTCTGTTGGTGCAACGGACGACTGTGTAGTCAGGCTCGACTTCGATTTGGATGGAGATTCAGATGGTGGATTAGTGCTTGGTTTAGCCTTGGATGGAGATAGTGCATTAATGCTTGGTTTAACCTTGGGTGGAGGTGGTGCATTGTTGATTGAGTTAGCGTTGGACGGAGATGGTGCATTGTTGCTTGATTCATCATTAGGTGTTGATCGTGCTGTCGAAACGATTTTTTTCTGAAAGGTGAAAAAGTGAGAGTAAAAAAACCACATTAATTCTTGTCTCTTTTTAATTTAAAAACCAATGCGATTTTTAAAACTCTCGTTTTGAAAATTTTTGAATTTCCTTTACGATCGAAAAATACAGTTCGAAGAGTCGTCACCAATATTTGATTAGGGTGTGATTGGACACCCAAAAATGCTTGCTATTTTAAATAAAAATTAATTTTAATTAAAACAACAAATTAAGGTCTGCGTTACCAAAATCCGAGTTCGGGAGTCGGTTACGTGTGGGGAAGGATTAGCACCCCCACAACGCCCTAAATCGGTACCTAATCGATTAATTAACGTCCTTGCATTGAACTTTACAAATTCGAATTCAATTTGATTTTTGATCCCATAAAATAAAAATGTAAATTTAAAATATTCAAAAGCACTCAAATAAATTAAATTATAATTACCGAGTCGTTTTAGAAAGATAAAGAATGTTCGATTATTTACAAATGTCGAGATCAGATCTTAAAAGTTATAACAACCTTTTCTCGATAAATTTAAATAAACGAACATTTCCTTTTTTTTCATTCCCAAATTTTAGGTGACGAATCAATTTTTGGTTTCACTTTTGGGATACACTTTTAATTTAAAATCGTCAAAACGACCCTCTAATCAGTTAAGACAGGCCATTCGAAACAATTTTAAATTAAAAGGGTATTACCCTTAGTCCGATTATGTAATAGGTCGAGTTATGCCCATGAGGGTACCATACAAATTGTAGAAAAAATGTCATATGATCACATATACATTGAAGAATACAAAAAGAGCTAACAAAAATTACATGCACCTATTTAATAATATAATATGTAAATTAAACGTATGCAATATAGGGTATATAGAAATAACGTACAATATAATAACTAAAGCTTAGTTAATATAATATATATAACACTTACGCACTATTGTGCAAATAAATAAATAAAAACGCATAACATAATAATTAAAATATATTCAATATAAACATATATAATAGTTACGAACTAATGTTCAAATGATATTAAAAACAACATAGAGCCATGATATAAACATTAAAACATGCAATTTTTGAGGGGGTACAGTTCAATTAGACCTAAAATCTTAAAATAAATACTACCCTTAAGCACAAATGGTAACCCTAACCTAAACAGAAAAAATGCAACCTCTTACTCCTTTGCTCTTCTCTGCAGCCTCTTACTCCCTTTCTCTTCTCTTCAACAATCCTACCTTGACCATCTGGCACCACACCCAACTCATGGGTGATACCACCTCACTAACATTCCTTACAATTCTCTTTCCTTTCTCTTCAGTAATCGCGTTAACTCCTGCCCCTGCATGGCTTGGCAACGGATTCTGAGCTATATTTGGCTGCTCACTGTCACCAAAGTTGATGACATTCCTCGTTCTCAAAGCTTGGACAACCTTCTTAAAAGCAGTACAATTCTCAATGTAATGCCCAGGGTTCCCTGCATGGTACTCACACTGAGCACTAACATCATACCATTTGGGAAAAGGAGGTTGTATTGGTGTCACGTGATACGGCGAAACCACATGCCGATCATACAAAATCTGAAACAATTCCTTATAAGTCATCGGGATGGGGGTCAAATTGAGGCCTCTCTCTCATCTGGTCCCTTGCCCCTTGTCTATTGTCATTTTGTGTCGATGACCCTGCTCCTTGAGGACGGGAAACAGTGATGTTATTAGAATCGTACTGCCTCACATTACTGACTTTGTTTTCTTTTTTCCTCGTTGGTGGCCTCTTACTAGACTCTCCTCCTTCGAGCTTTCCACTCTTAATCGCCATTTCAATCATTTCTCCTGCTGTAACCACATCAGCAAAACTTCGATAAGGATTACCGATAAGATGCGAGAAAAAAGGAGCCTTTAAGGTGTTGACAAAAAGCATATTTGTTTCCTCCTCTTCCAATGGCGGGTGGACTTGCACTGCTACATCTCTCCATCTTTGAGCATATTGTCTAAAACTCTCGTTAGACTTCTTTTCCATTCCTTGTAACATCATCCTGTTAGGTCTGACATCTTTTACATGTTTGTATTGCTCAAGAAATGACTTAGCCAAGTCTTTCCATGATTTAATATTAGCTCTACTCAGCTGGTTATACCACCGGATTGCCGAGCCAGTTAAGCTTTCCTGAAAGCAGTGTATCAACAATTGATTGTCCCCTATGTATCAGGTCATCTTCCTACAAAACATCGTGATATGCGCAGAGGGACACCTAGTACCATCAAACTTTTCAAAGTCAGGAACTTTAAACTTTGGAGGCAAGACCAGATCAGGAACTAGACTTAACTCCTTTGCGTCAAATCCATAGACACTGGTATATTCCTTCATGGCTCTGACCTCTCTTTCTAACTGCTTCCATTTCTCTTCCAACAGATTGTTTTGGTCCTTCTTGGCTTCTTCATCAAGGTCCGAAACTTGATGATATTGATGTTCTTCCTGATATGAACTAGATCCAGGCTGTACGTTAACAGAAGCACCGACTGGATTAATGTGCACCTTCCCGACATGAACTGGGGTCACTTGAACATTCTGAGATTGTTCTGGGGTTAACTCTGGATGATGAAGTGGGTCTTCAGTTACACCTTCTGGCATAGGGCTTTTCCCATGTTCTGGATTTCTTCCTTCCAACATACTCACAAACTTGGCAAACATCTCCTTTTGGGCATTAATCATATCTTCTTGCATTTTCTTGATATTATCTTGTAACTCCAACTGAGCCTTCTCAATTTGGGCAAGTTTGTCCTCCATAACTTTCTTCCTGGTTCTGTAGGTATGCTTGGGATTTTCCAGTATTACTCTGTCACAGAGTCATTTTGTTATCGCTGATATTTATTAATGAATATGAAACATATGATTATGAATGAATAAAATGTTATGTAAAAATTTAAATGTATTAAAAATGCATATGCAAAATGCAGGGTGTTGATCCTGGAACGACTCCTTAGAACAACTCTTTATATTAGAACGACGTTCAATTACAAAGTTGAAACATATCACAAATAAATCTGCACCATCTCTCCTATTTCTTGTACGTGTGCTAGTAACTCTACAATCTTCTGGTTTTCTTCAGCCTCAGGATCTAGTTCTTCAGTCACATCAGCAGCTTCCTCAGATAGAATGACCAAATATTGAGCTATTCCCCGCGCGTGTTCTAGGTAACAAGCAATAAAGTCCTTTCTTTGCTTAACTCTCGCCTGAGCTCGCTCCCATCGAAAACACCACTGTATATCCCCCTCATAAGGAACTATTGATAGCTCATTTGCTTGCCTCTGAAACTCTTGAACCATGGCTTCAAGCTTGCTCACTTGTTTTTTCAGACTTTCAACATCCCCTTGGCTCGAGCTACCTTCCCTGTTTCGGTATCGTCGTAATGCAGTCTCTAAACTTGAAATTTTCCCCTTCAACTTCTCATTCTGGGCTTGACTCTCTTGTAACCGCTGCTCTAAAGAATCATTTTCTTTCGATAAAATCTTCACTTGGTGCCTGCTTTGCTTGAGCTCTTATTGACTATCTCCGGCTACTCTTTTGAGGCTCGCCACATCTTGCCTCCATTCGACAGATGACTTACTCGAGCTAGAACCTGTCTGAGCTTTTACCATTCGCTGATAAGTTGACCAAAGATCGTCAAAGTCTAGCCGAAGTTGTTTCTCTACTTTTTCAATTCGATCTGCTCTACTCTTCTGAGTGTCAATCTCCAATCCCTTTTGATACACTTCATCTTCTAGCTTCTGTAAAGTCATTCTCCATTGTCTCCGTTCTGCTTCGAAATCGCGCTTGGCTAACTCTAATGAAGATGGCACCACTCTTAACTGTTCCTCCACCGGCTGAATATTTTCAGGATTCACTATCAGGATGTTGTCGTTTACTCGACCGCTTCTCCACTGCTCGTACTCTTGAGATAACTCGAGATCATAAGTGAACAGATTCACACGACGAGTATGCTTCCAAGCCTCAGCAACCTCTTTAACTTTACCCTTATACTGATCTCCTTTGAATGCAAAATCCGATCCTACCAAGTCCAACGTGGCTGGGATGAACTGCCTCGATCCATACTGTCTGGAAACTAGTAGCGGTGCATACCCAACAGAACCCCATATACCTGGCAAAGAAACCCAATCTCGCTCTCCACATCGGTAAAGTATATCCGAAGAGGTATTCCACGAAGCTTGCCACAAAATATCTCCATCTCTGATATCCTTGAAGATGACCATCCATTTTTCTTCGGCAAAACCCCCAGGCCACTCTTTAGAAAGAAAATCCTTCAAATGTGAGAAACCGTCTAGAAATACTCGTCCTGGTGCCCTTTCAACATGTTTGAAATGACTCAGCATCCACACTAGCAGCAAAGGCGCACATCCTATAAAGCGTCCTTCTCCCTCACGCCTACAAGAACTCAAAGACCGGAATGTCTCAGCTAGAATAGCTAGAACAGGATCCACGCGCTTGTCTAATCTTTCAAACAGGTCAACGACTGATACGTCTACATATCCTAGCACTTTTGGAAAAATAACGAGCCCATAAATCCCTAAAGCAAACAAGTTAAGCTTCTTTCTCTTATCAGGATGATGAGCAATTACTTCTTTCAGAGCAGCCCAAGAGATGCACTCACTGTCTCCCTTCTTCTTAATGTTTCTGACTACCCAATCTTCACTCATTCCGGTCATCAATAGTAATTTCTTCTTAAATGAAGGAGTGACTGGCAACTTGGTATATATTCTATCCATTTGGGACCTCGGACAACGGACCAAAGCTTGATACTCCTCTATTGTTGGTGTCAGGTCTACTCTACCAAATGTGAAACAGCTATAAGCCGGGTTCCAGAACTGCGCCAATGCTCTAAACAGATTTCGGTCAATAGGAACATCAAGAAGATAAGGAATGTCGCCGTACAACTGATAAAATATCTCCTTATTGGCTGCTTCCCATCTTCCCCATATCTCTCTTAGCTCACTCAGATCATTCT